TTGCCAACCTGGCTCCCTGCTGGGCCGACCCCACCACCAGCCGTCAGACGTGCCCCTTCAGCACGTCGCCCCAGCAGCCATGGGCTCTACTTCTTGAGGAGCACCCAGCACCAGCTGGCACAAGCGAGACGCCCGCCCGGACGCTGATGTGGTGAAACGGCAGAAGCAGCAAACCCAAGTGCCGGGGCAAGGATCCCTCTAGAGGCTGAACGAGCCATGGCAGGAAGAGCTGCTCTGAGATAAGATGGGGCGTGTGCCTGGAAAGTCAGTTTGCGCACGGGGTCCTTGGGACGCCAGTGCAAATCCTGATATGTGGCCAGGGCCAGGCATCCGGGGAGATCGGGATGTGCGGCCCGAGTGTGGGAATCCCTCAGCATTGAATTGGGGTCCCGACATGGGGCCTAGGGGCGTCCTGGGGCAAACCCTGATGCATGGCCTGCGTGAGGGGTCCTGGGGTGTCCCAGAGCAAATCTGGGTGCTGGGTCCTTGGGGATCCTAGCTGAAATTCTGACACACATTCTGGGGTCTTTGGGAATCCTAGTGCGAACCTGATGCGTGGCCTGCGTGGGGGACCCTGAGTGGATCCTGGTCAGGTGTGGGGGACTCTGAGGATCCAAGGGTCGGCTCCTGACATGCAGCCTACACCCCATTTCCATTAGCTGGTTTTGCTTTCACCTGGCGGCCCATTTTGCTCTCAGGCTTCGCTGCACTTTGCAGAAGTGTCAGCCACCGCTCAGCGCCGTGCTGGGGGCTCTCTCCCCACCCCTGTGATGCTGAGTTGGCTTCCTGGAGACTGCAACCACAAGCCAGCAAACAAGAACGAGAGATTGTGTGGGAGCCACACACCAGACAGAGAGCAAGCGAAAGAGCCCGGACTCGGCCCTGGCTTCCCAGCCCGCAATGCGATCGCGCCAGTGACAGCGATGGACGTGCTGTGGGCATCCCTGATGGCTCTTTCCTTGACGGCGCCCAGACAAGGTACCCAGCCCTCCTTCCATCTTCATTCCCTTCTCTCCTGGCCAGGATCCCCATGTGTTTAGCCTCTCAGCTGAGTTCTCCAGCCAAAGCACCATTGTCGGGTCTGGTCCGTCCCCTCAGCTTTCTGCATCATGCATCCTTAGGCCCTCAGCTAAGGTAGGTCTGGAAGCTCAAGTCTTCCCTTCTCTCGCATCATGGGCGCAGTAGGGGAAGGTGGCATCTTCCCTCCCTGCGACCCATGGGCCTCCTCGCTGCTCAGGAGTGAGAGACCTTCTCTGTAGGGGAGAGGGGAGTTTGTTGCCCAAGAGCTAGTCAGATCTTGGCCTCTCACCCTGTTGTGTGGTCACTTCTCACCCCTCATCGCATCTCCCTCTGGTCTCTAAACTGCCGTCAGGTGGGCCTGGGTGTCAGGTGGGTGAGACACGAGGCTCCATCTCCTCTTCTTCACCCACTTCCTCACCCCTCCCCTCCCATGGCACCCTGCAGAGCCAGCCCCCTCTTCCCTTCCTGGCAAACACATCAGCAAGGTCTGGTGTGAGGGAAGGGATCTGGCGGGGGGTGTCCTGTTGCCTCCCACCTGCAGATGTGCTGTCCAGCCTGCTTAGCATGCCACCTGCACCTCACCCTTGTGGGGCAGCCAGTTCAGATGAGCTCCTCTCCCCTCACCAAGCCCAGCCCTGGCCCCGCTCCTGGAGGCAGAGCTGGGCTGAGGTGGAATAAGGGGATCGGCCTGGCCCAGGGGGAGGTGAGACTGAATGCAGAGCCACGCTGGCGAGGCTAGAGGCTTGTGGCTGGGTTAGCGGAGCAGAGGAACAGGCTTGGAGTGGGAATTGCAGGAGAGACATGGCTCTAGAAATGGCTGCTGCTCCCGCGGACAGAGGTGAGGTAGAGAAGTGTTATGTCACCATGGCGGGGGTCTCACCACCAACACCAGGAGCAGCCATTGCTCTTTCTTCTCCAGACACCACCTATGGTTAGGACAGCCTGTGGCGCGATGTAGTGAGAACAAGGCAGCTGAGCGTATTCTCTCGGAGCGGGGGGTGCCCAGTGTACAGCTGATTGCATCAGGGCAGCCCTTCCCGCTCCCCATGCACCGCAGTCCCTTCAGGCTGAGAGGATCAAAGGTTTTCCAGATGAAGGGCCGGATACACAGCTGGTGTAAATCAGCACAGCTAGACCGAAGAGCTGGCACTACTGCCGTTTACACTAGCTGCGGATCTGGCCCCTGATTAATTTGAGGAACCATGCGGAATCATTATTTATCATTCTCCTGGTCTCACAAATGCGTGTGGCGCTTTATACAACCCGGCTCTCCTCCCCAGCCAGCGTATAAACCCTCTTGTTCTGACTAGTATTACCGATTCCCCTATTATTGTGGTATCGTTTGTTTCCTGCATTACTGTGCTAGCTGCCACGGCCTGTTTATTTCTTCATCAGTTCCTTTGCTGCTCGCGGTGGCCTTGTGTGTAATTAGGGGCACAGAGCCCTTTTCCTAGCGCCGTCTCCTCGTGAAGTGATCCGGCCGTGGGGCCCTGGGAAATGTATGTTTATGATGATTTTATGATACATGCTTTTTTTGGTGGGGGAGGGATCTCATTCCATTTCCCAGTGAGATAGTTTGCATGTCACAATTGCCCCCTATCACAACGGCTGCTGGTTGTTCCCCTCATTTAGTAAAGATCCCAGGGTAGGAAAAAAACCTGGACTTCCCAAGCCCGGAACATTAGGGCTGAGCCCTGTTGCTGCTCTCCTGCCCTTACTGAATCTGGGTCACTGATGAATTCGGTCCTGAAGGGTTTGTACATTTAGAACCTTTTCCCAGCACTAAACTCATGATGAGTGAATTAGTATCAATAGCCCGACTTTGCCCCCTGCTTCCTCCAGATTGCCATGTGCAGGCTGAGCTTTTTAATCATTAAGATGGAGACCAGTCAGAAGAAGACAATGCGGGAAATTGTCGCTAGAAGCCAACCCTGTCATTATTTCTTAAATACCCTATAATGGCCTTGTTGATACAGTAAAATCTCAAGGGCCCAGACCCTCTGACAGTGGAACTTGATCTAACTCCATTGAACGTGTTGATTTATACCTGCTAAGAATCAGGCTCAATATTCCGTCTCAGCAAAGCCATTATTGGATATTTAAGAAATAATAACAGGCCTCGGTTTTAGCAACGATTCCTTTATTATTTTCTTCTCATCTGCTTCCTTGAGATCATCTCAGGGTCAGTAGTTTCTTACTATATCGGTCCTATTGACGTGGGCGCACTTAATGAAGGGATCGCAATGTAAACAGGGCACCACTCGTTTAACAAAATCAATACATCAGCAGTCAGTCAACCCATGAAAAGTAAGTTGGATTAATAAGCGCTTGGGGGGGAATATATGTTGTATAAAATGCCAGTGCTGTGGAAATGATTACTGATAATAATACCTGCTCTCTTTCCTCAAATTGTTATTAAACTAAATGTCACATCATGAGATTAACACCGGGAGAGAGGTCCATTTTAGCCACTTGTAGAAAAATCACCTATCCTCTCCTGTCTGTGGATAATTGCTGTTGTCTGGCAAAAGAAGGATCGATCCTCTCTTTTAAATGAGTTTTATATCCCTAACAACATAACATAGCTTTCATGCTAACACTTGGGGCTAGATTTTTTAAAGTATTTAGGCACATAAAAATATAAAGCCTTTTTATATTTTCCTTTAAGTGCTTAGAAACAATGAACAAAATACATATTATAAAACAAAAGCATGTATCTCTATTTTATTATGTGTTGGGTTACTATGGAAAGGATCTTGAATTCTGGAGTATGGGACGTGCATAATACATTTTCTGCACATTTTCTGACTCAAATTAACAGCAGGCTACTATGGAAGCCCCTTGTCTAAAACCTTGAAATCAACAGTTATACCAGGGATCCATTTTGCTTTGACCTGTACATGCAGTAATTTTCTGTTCTTTACGATTGCATGAAGAAATCCTTTACTTTGATACACCCATTGGCGCCATCTTAGCACAAGAGCAAAAATATTTCGCCATCTTATACAGAGGGCGCCAAATGCTGAATGTCTTTCTTGGACTGACAGTTACGCCGAAGGGGGATTAAATCCGAATATCCAGCCCCCTGTCACCAGAGCACCTGCATACTTTCCAGCCATTCATATATTTATTCCCACAGACACCTCAGGGGGAGGTGGGGCTATGCCATTGTACCCATTTTACAGAGAGGGAATTGAGAGTCACAGTGACATTGAGGGACCTCATGAAAATAAGAAACTGGGCCAGGGTTTCCTAAGTCGCAGGCGAGTTCCTAACTACTGGGCCATCCCGACATGGATAACATAGAGTGGCAATCGAGGGATAAGAATCAGATCCTATACGCCGTGCACAGTCCATTTCAGACACCAGGCAGGCAATTTCTCTGTGTTGCGTCCTTTGCTGGGCTGAAGAAAATCATTCCACTCCCATCACAGTTGAAACACCCTGACTTTCCCCATCGGCCTCTGTCCCCTGCAGTGAGGAAGTAGAATAATTAATTCAGACAGCGTAGAGCATTTCTAGTGATAAACATCAAAGCATTAACAGGCGGAGAGTGTGTCGCTCAGCCAGGCTGTCTGCTCCTCTGCATGAAATGGTCTGTTGGTATGTGTTATATCAACAAAGGTACTGAGAAAGACAGCAAGGTTAGAAGGAAGGAGACAAAACTAAAATGATACAAGGCTCCCAGGGTGTAGCTTACCCCAGGGAATGAGATAAGAGTGTTTAGCCTAAAATAAAGCGATGTTAACAATGAGATCTATTAAGCTGTGGAATTGGCTCCCAGGGGGAAATGCTGTTGCTTGGAATAATTGGAGTGAACAGAGCACTCAGGGAAACGGGCTAGTGCTGGGCTATCTGGAAATGGATGAAGTGACCTGATTTTTTTTTTTAAACCAGCCTTGCTTTTGGTGCCGTCAGTTTTTCACGCGCCATCAGTTGCGGGCACAAATTAGAGCGGCTGCCTGCAAACCAAAAGGTGGCTGGGCATTCACCTGCCATTTTCTAAGGGCAAAATCTGTCAGCCGTGCACCAAAAAAGTCAGTGGGTTTAGTAATTAGGCACGCAAAGGCTCTTCCACTCTGACTGCTGCAAATGCTCCCGTTTTAGGGGCTCAACTGGATCTGTCTTAGGCCTGTTGTGTGGAACAGGTGAGCCCAGACTACCCTTGGAACCAGAATGACCGATATCTGGGGCCTTGTAGCAGCCTCACACTGAGCCGTCGTCAGCGTCCACAGATGCTTCTGAAAATTTGTGCCTGTGGGCCAGAGGTTCACTTGGTGTGAATTGAACTGCACAGTCATACGCCTCTCGCCTTCAGTGGGCAATTTCCTGCTTTTGCTTTTCTGTGTTTTGTCCCATGTCACCTGGTTACCACCAGAGCTGCTGTCCCTTTGTCACCCCCTTGCTCCAGAGTCCCAGCTGTCATTTAAAAAGAAGAGTGTTTCTGACCCTTTGGGCTGTGAGGATAACATCAGAACCAAGAAAAGAAGACTAAGAAGGGACATGATAGCCGTTTTCAAGTATCTAAAAGTCTGTTACAAGGAGAAGGAGAAAAAATTGTTCTTCTTGACTTCTGATGATAGGACAAGAAGCAATGGGCTTAAATTGCGGCAAGGAAGGTTTAGGTTGGACATTAGGAAAAACTTCCTGTCGGAGGGAAGAGGGCATTAAGCACTGAAATAAATTGCCTAGGGAGGTTGTGGAATCTCCATCATTGGAGATATTTAAGAGCAGGTTAAATAGACATCTATAAGCAGGGGTGACCCGTGAGCCTAGGCGAACTAGCAAATTGCCTAGAACGCTGCTGGCCCGGGTGCCCGATGATGACATCACAACCATTGACGGCTGTGCAGGCGGGGGGGCCAATCACACTGCCCGCCTGGGGCTCCAGCTGCCGCAGCCGGCCTCAGGCTGCTCCTGTCTATACGGCATGATCTGGATCAGTGTTTCTCAAAATG